AGGGTGGCGAATGCAGCCTAGGGGTTGAAAACTCCTAAGGGCATCCACACATAGTAACAGGGGAAAACGCATGTCATCAGGCTCAATGAGGGTAGGGAACTGGGAGCGAACAAAACCAATGACCCTAACAGATAGACCATCAGGGCGGGTAATGCTCGGCTAAGGGATGACTGCTTTGGAGGGTCGACCATGCAAGGGAACAAGGGAGCCTGGTATACTGGGCGCACCTAGATGAAGCATGAGGGGCTGCCTAACTAAGGCGTGAGGGTCGGCGAAGGGTAGAACGATGATGGGTAAGGGAATCATGCAAATGACTCCTAAAGTGAGGGAGGTCGGAGCTAGATCTGTAAGATGGGAAGCCAGGGCAACGCTACGGTCCTGATGCCTATGCGTATACCAAGGGAGAGCCCAACTCAGAGGAACCTGGCTAAAGGGAGACCATCATGCGACACAAGCAGGGTACTATACAGGGTAGAGTGGTAAGAGAGTGGCGACATCTGAAGTAGGCATAGTTGATCGTGATGAAGTCCATGAAGCTGCCGATGACGTCCACGATGAGAAGTCCAGAATGCCGTTGAGAAAGAGCCGCAGCGTCGACGAGCTGAAGTAGAAAAACTGATGTGGATGGAGTACTGAGAAGTCAAAGACATGGGAAGGTAAGTCAGAGTCAATCGTCGTATCGAGCAGGACGACGACGAGTGCGCTGTGGACGCTCAGCAGCATCCGACTGCTGCAAAACGTCTGCCTCAGATGGAGCAGGCTCAACTTCAGCGGTCTCCTCAGCCGAAGGAGAAGGAGGAGGGTCAGTGGGCTGAGGAGGAGCAGTGAACCCAGCACGACGAGCACGGTCATAGGCACGCACGAACATGCGAGCGTACTGCAAGTGCTCGAGGGGCTCCCAGATAGCCTCCTCATCAGGGTAACCCTTCCAACGTACGAGATACTCGACGTGGGGAGGGTTGTCGTCGGTGACTCGGCGATCAATGATGTCTGAAACGAGGAACTCCTCGTGGCCGTCCACCATGATGGGTGGAGGGCGCTCGTATGGTCGTCCAGCGAAACGCTCAGACCGTCTGCGGTAAGGACGCAATAACGAGACGTGGTAGACATCATGCACACGAGTCTGGCGTAGGTAGTCAGGCAGCTTCACACGAAAGTTGACCGGGCTAGATGCCGTATCAGGACCGACGGCCTGGAGGATGCGGCATGGGCCAAAGAAGCGACGCCGAAACTTGCGAAGCGTGTCCGCTTCGAGCTGTAAGTGGCGGGCGTCGATAAGCACATCATCACCGACCTTGAATGGGTGATCCATCCTCGATCGGTTCGCACGTGTTGCCATGCGAGTCTGGGAAGCGGCTATGTGCTCATGT